AAAAAAGGTTTAAAAAATAATAATTATAAAATACCTATAATGTCATTATAATTTAAAAGTAAACAACTATTTAATTGACAACTTTAAAATGACAACGTCATAAAGGATTAAATTGTGACTATGTTCAATTAAATCAGTTTTTTTTGAGACAATATTCAAATGTTTCATATGCTTCTATTAATTAATACATAAACTAATTAGTATAGCACAAGGTATTTCAGCAGATAACTAAATTGAAACATTCCGATCTATTAATTAAAGTTGTTTCCTACTAAATCCTATGATTATTGATTATATTTTATAATATGACGCACGGAGAAAAAGGTAAATTGTGTAGGTGTAGAGTATTTTTTTTGCTCACAGTGGAGATCTGGACACAGCCCCAGTATGACGTAAAGACGTTTCTGATTTCCACTGTAACAGAATGAGCTACATACAATAAATTCAATCTTCAGTTTCTAATAATGACTCTTATATACTTAACATCATCATAATGTTAATTTCTATTAAAATAATAAAATTTAAGGTGTTGCATTTCCTTAATTATAATCTATCTATATGTGTGTCATATATTTACCACTTGATTTACTAGAGACTACAGCCCATATCAGTCTTCATTTATATATAGTTAAATAATTCTATTACACACATAAAACTATGGAGATCTTCCTTTTTTAATTCCTGGTATAGAACATCTAATATAATATAACTGCTCATAAAATATTAATATATATATCAACCTATGCAATTGTTCATTTAAAAATAGAATAATATAATTATATTTTATTTTATCTATACTTTAAAATTATAACATCTAAATATCACAAATTTCAAAGGATCAATAAAAACTTATGAAATAATAGATAGTTAAACAATGAAACACACAAATAATTAACATCAGCATGATGTTAAAATAATGCATTAAATCAGTAAACTAAATTTCTCTCTAAACCTATCCATAGATAACAGCTTTAGCCGCATAGAGTACAAGATTCTAGGAAGGTTTCCTTTAGAATATCTAAGAAGTTTAACTGTAAGGACACTGAACACCTGCATTCAAGATTTTTTTGTATATTTGGGTGTTATAAAGAATAATCATAGATACAAATAATAGTTATAGTATTATAATGTATTTTTAATCTTAATATATACAATATTATTTACATTATATAAAAATAATTCACAGTAAATATATATACTAGGAATAGTCAACTTTTATTAAAGATCGCGATCTACTTGATTTATTATTTATTATATATATATTTATTATATGATTTCGGCTGTATCACGAAAATATGATACGGAAACTCGTTGGTTTGATTCCCAAAAACCAACAAATAGGGCCAAAAGAGATGTATATCAATAAATAAATTGATATAAATCTCTGTAAAAAATATAAAAGAAATGTATTGTTTTTTGTCTCGTTTTACTAACCACACATTCGAAGAAATTAGATTTTTGTACAGTTCGCCATCGAATTAAATCTAACAACTAGGACCAAATGTCTAATTAGTAAATCAATTAATATAATTTAATTTAATTGTGCACTTAACTTAAATAATGGTTCACATTTGGATTTTTATTATCATTTTTCAATATAGACTAATAGAATTGCACTCTACTAAATCGGATACGATTGGCTTCAACAACAAATATAAATACCTAAAAATTTCAAATTAAAATACAGGTTCTGCTGCAGCAAACAGGAAATCTACAAGCATTTTGTAATTCTAGTGTTCCTCGAGTCGGACGCCGGCGCTTCTGAATCGTAAATTTCAACTAATAAAAACTTTCGTGTTGCTCTTCTCTACTCACTTCGGATGGGTATGTTTGTGTATATATAGGTGTGTATGCTGCAGAGTGTCTGTGTGCATGTTTTTTTGCTCTCTCTTCCTTCGTCCTCCTTTAAAGCCGTTTAAAGCCAGTTTTATTATGTCATCATCCCTTTTATATTTTATTGCGGCCTATTTGTGTATTCCATAAATTTAAAGGCTCGCGCGCGACGAACAACCGACCGTCAATAATTTATATATTTATTTATCTACTCGCTTCATGTATTTATATACACATATGCACAGGCCGAAGAACAACCAGTTTCTTAGCTGTCCTTCGATCGTGTAAAAGAACCATTCATAATATCACCTATGTTAATTGCATTTTGTTACTTCTGATCGTGGGATAATTGGACAATTTAAGAAATTAGGTTGAAAGCATTTTCTATACTTTACCATGGATGAAGGTATAGACAAAAATTAACATTGTAACTACAACTATGTAACTATTTACAACATTACATCAAAGTAAGTTGTTCATTATTTATGTTACAGAAATGAATCAGCTTTAGATTTTTTTTTCATTATATCGTATATTACAAATTTAATGAATATTAGAAATTAATATATTTTACTAAAAATTATTACAATATTATTATAGCAATTAATCATTTAATTACTTGTATATTGTGTAAATAAATGTTAACATTTTTCATGTTTATTCTAGACTACAAGTTTGAGAAAGATTGCAACTTGGTATATCACCAATAAGGGACTAAATCGAGACCTATCAGTTGCGAGCGCTGAAGAGGTCATTTCAGACCAAATGCCAGAGAAAGATTGCTCCGTGGAATATCGTCAATAAAAAAAATACATCAAGACGTTTCAATTGTGATCGATGATGAGGATATCACAACTTTGTTCAGGAAACATAAAGATAAGCTCGACTCTCCTAATAAATACACTAGTATTTAATCTATTGACATTATAATAACATTTATTATATTCATTAATAGTCGCCATGCTTCTTAGTATAACAAATTATAAATAATTAATATTTAAGTTAATATTTGATTATAATTTATTTACAAATTTGTGTTAGCTTAAATTACAATTATTTTCATACTATAAAATTTAATAAAATACTTAAATGTATATGTTTCTTAATTAATAATTAATTATAGTGCAGAAATTGTGTTAATTCTTATTGCAATAAATTAAACAACTTGAATACATTCATTAAAAGTAAATAAATTTTAGTTAGGAAAAAAAAATTAAGTATATATGTACAGTAAAATTTTAATATCTAAATTATTTTTTTCTTATGTATTTGTTTAAAAAAACATTGATTTTGATGGAAGCAATATAAGCAAAGTGAAAGTCGTATAATAAAAAGTATTAGCTTTTTTTCGAATAAGATAAATTACTTCTTAACTTCGAAAGAAAGTTTCTTTACATTTGTTTTATTTAAAAAAAAATTGAAGAATCAATAACAACTAGAAATATTTACACACTTACATGACTGAAAATAAAGAATATTCAAAATAATTTTAATACATATTTTTTTATTTCATTTTTGTTTTATAAGTTATGCCTTGTAAAATGATAATACAGTGGAACCTAGCTTAACAAGTAAAATCCGTTCTATTTTTTTTGGATTTTTACTCGTATAGTAAAACAATTCTAGAAAATGATGTAGCAAGCCACAATCCGGAAATGTGAGAATTATCCTTTTTATAATGAACTATAAGAATGACTGGAAATTTGCGAAATAATTTTGAAAGTATTAAAGAATTTGTAATTGTATTATATTTCAATATACAGTGAATGTAATAAACGTAATGCGAACAAAGACTAAAGCTTCATATCACCACTAGCATTAGTTTCCAAGAGTAAAGAAAATCGGTCGGTAAGGTGTTCGTTATCCAAACATGAAAATCTTTTACTAAATTGTTCTTTGTCCGATTTGTGCATAGTCCGAACATTTCGTAAACCGATCATCTATTGTATTTAATTAATACAAATTGATCAACTTTTCTGTGATAAATGAAAGCTTTTAGCGAAAAAATCATTAAATATCAATGAAAATTCAATAAAAAAAAAATCTGAAATGCCCAATTAATTTAATCTCTGTTCTTCGAAAGGATTTCCTCGATTTTCTTTCACCAGTAGTTTTGGGGTCAGTTCATGTACATGCGCGTTAATTAGTCATTAATCATTCGGATGAAATCGAGCATCAGGCTTCCGTAACCGAGATCCTCCTGTGGGATTCTTTCATGACGCGTCGAATTTTATTGTCGGCAGTAGGGAAAACCTACCCCAAAACTTTTATGCCCTCATGTGTTTTCACGTTATGAAATCGGCTTAATGCCTGCGACCCTTTTTCTGCCCTCCCATTTATAAACATGTATCCGCTGTATATAGAATATATACACGGTAACCTTTGTTATGAAAGTCATACTGAAAATCAATTAATGTCGCTTACTTCTCGATATATGGGTGAAACAGAAAAAAGGATAAAAACCAACAATAACATCAATATTCAATTGAATTCACAAAAACATTTAAAACAATTAATCTATTTATCCATCGATGATAGAACATTTGCAAATGCAAATTAAATTTGCGTGTTTCAGTTGAGAATATAGATATGGATCGGCACTAATTAAATTGAACGGCACGCATTGCTGTAGATAAAAGACTGAAATATAGGATTTGTGCTGTTTCTACCGAAAAAGCGGTGGCGCAGTTTCAGCATCAATTTAATCCGCCAGATTACACAAAAAATCTATTGTTGGTCTCTACCATTTATATATTTTTTATATTATTCAAAACATAATATTCTTTACAGCATACGTATCGGAATTAGCAAAATTCGTAGCCAGTGTAAATGAAAGCAAAAACATTGATTTTTTTTTCAAATTATCTCTTTATAAAAGACAATTATGATATTCCTTCCAATTATATCTACATTAATCATTATCGAAATGCTAATGTATTCGTAGTCACCATTCACTTAATTATATTTTAAAAAAATAAATTAATGATGTATATTAATTACGATTAAAAAATATTATTAATATAATAAAAGTGAATAAGCTAATGAGGATTAACAAATATTTTCAAGTTTATTTAAAAAAAATAGTTTGGATTTAATTGGGAATTGGGATTTAAAAGTAAACACAATATGTTTTATAGGAAAGACAAATTATAATTTATTTCCTTCTTCAATTTCAATTCGACTATATTATATGCACGATATTAACATTCATGCGTATGCATATATAATGTACATATAATATACAAATTAAATTACAAATTCGTGTGAATTCTTCTTATCTCCTCATAAAATTATTACTCTTTTGGTTTCCTTCGTCACGTTCCGTACAATAATTTTTCATCATAAACATTTCGGTACAAAAATATCAATTTCCATATAACCAAATCGAGAACGATAGGAAAGAAATTCCACACACAGCAAGGTAAAAATCACAAGAAACAATAAAACTAAGTATAATATTAGAAAAAAAAATGATCAAATGCATGTATTAAATAATAGTTATTCGAAAAAAAATGTAGATAACAATAAGTACAGTCTAAATTTTTGAGTCAGGCGAAATACATTAAGAGTTAAAAAAAAATAAAATTGCCAAAATTGATTCCGAAAATTATTACTTTATTCTTAGTATGACTTATATTTATATGTATTTACAAAACTAATCGTTTCTTCTTTGTGAATCAATTTTGGAAGCCCGACAACAAAACAAATACTTCGAGATCGCAATTAGCATTTAAAAGATTAAAAAAATAATAGTAAAAATAAATATAGGTACATAATATCTTGAGCATATATCCATATTTCAGCGAAAACAAAGGAAATGGAGCTGTTATTAATTAAAATTTGGCACTAGAATCTTCGCTTACTACACACCCATAATCCATTCTCGTAATCGCTTCTTTCTCAATGACTAAAACAAATTATATAATCATATATATATATATAGGAATAAAACCTTCTGCTTTTTTCTTTTCCTCATAGATTAGTATTTATCTCTCTTAAATTGAATATTAATCATTTTCACAGGTAACATCAGAGTTTCAACCCCCACGTACTCGCGTCAGATAAACTTTGTACAATAGACTACATAAAAAACGTGTTAACTATATATAATAATATAAATTTGGTTTTGAGCTGTACAGCCTTTAAACGCCTAAAGTTTTTTCGTCTGTTAGAGGGGCTGGTATTTATTTCCTTCGCACTTTGGTCTTCTGGTGATCGCCGTTTTTCCTGTTGGCACCGGTCTTGATGTTGTTGATCAGTCCGCGGAATTGCATGATCTGCATGGCGGTGACTGATGGCTCGCTGCAACATTCTAACCACTTCAAGAATTTTTCTCCATGCTCTAAAGCTTCCATCTGACTGACATCATCCTCCTTGCTGTCTTTTTTGATGACCGCAACGTTGTTGTTGTTCAATAGCAAGTTATCGAGAACGGCGCGGGCCCTGTTTGTGCTTTTTGGTTTCTCTTCGGTCGTCGTTAAGTTCTCGCTGTTATCTTTGGTTAATTGCTGATATAGAATCTTATCCATAGCCTGCTGGGGCTGTAGCTGATGCTGCGCCGCGACTGATTGAAGCTGCGTGTAGTCCTTGTACCATTTCCAGAACCACGAGCTGTTCGTTGGGTCTACGATGGCGTTTGTCGTTAGAAACGAGTGTGCCATATTTGCGACGTTTTGATTTTGACTTTGGCTCTGATTTTGTTGGTTCAATCCAAGCATTGCCTGCTGTGTCTTCAACCAGTACCACACGGAATCCTCAACGGACTTTGGTGGGTCCACTTTGGGCAAGCCCTTCTCTCTCTCCTGGTTAAAAGTTGTCAACAGCGCTTGCGAAGACATTCCTGCGGAGGTATCCGGTTGAGAAGTCTTTGGTTTCTGCTGTAGAAGAAGGTTATTCCATTGTGCAAGCAGATTAATGTTGTTCATGTCGAGAGGATTGCCGGTGGCCGTTGGGTACATCTCAGGCCTGTTAAGCCCCAGCTCGATGCTGAGACGCGCCAATTCAGCGCGGTTACGGTCGCGCTCTGTCTTCTGTGTATCCACCTTCATGTTAAGATTTAACGGTCGGTCGTCCTGCTTGTAGGCCTCAGAGTTCGGAGAATAGGAGACCCTTGGGCTCGCCTTCATAGAAAGGTTGAAGGGCGCACCATTCGAATCATCGCGCTTCGTCCTCTTCTCCTTGGGTTCGTACTGAAGAGAGTCGTCGGTATCCGGACTAGATTGACGGGATATGTAGGAGATCTTTTCTTCGTTCTTACACCATCCACGAAGCGTGGACTCGGGCACTCCGATATCGCGAGCCACTGCCGCTTTGCTTTCACCATCGTGCACCCTCCGGATAGCCACTAACTTCTCATGGGCTGTCAGCGAACGCAAAGGTCTCTTTGCCGGTTTCGCAGACATCGCGGACATAATCAAGTATAGGTCACTGGGAAACAGTTTTGATGATCACTGATAGCTGCTGGTAGCTTCACTTACTTCGAAACCGAAGAAGCACTTTAAACTACAACTACTGCCTTATTATATACGCGAGGTAATACTAAGTGTTTATCCTTAGGCACAAGGATGAGCGTTTGAAGCGCGCGCGAAGGACAACTTTTGATGAATGCAACAACACCACAACAACACAGACCGCGTGTGTTTTTTCACGCGTGCGCCACAAAGTTTCCACCGCAAAAGTTATTAAAACTGATGCAAACGCAAAACGCGAGAGACTGGAGCGGAGGACCGGGTCTGGTAGTTGCGCTCGGAAGAGTTTCTTGCAAACTGGTGGTCAGTTTCCTTTGTCCAGCCGATCAATACTACGTGCGACGGACTAGCGCGGACTGAGAGAACCTCTGTGTGTGTGTTGGGTAGAGGGTTCGCGAGTCCCCGCGTGATGGCTTGACGTGACACCCTCCCACCCCCTTTGGTAGGAACACACTTGCGCCAAGTCTGGTTCACGCAGCCACACAACGTTTCGCGAACTAGAACCCTCCTTTCCTCCTTCCACCCCGAACCCCCTAGACCCTACTCCTTTGCGCCAGCACAAACCCTCCAGCAACGAACAGACCGACCGACCAACCCCCGTTCGCCCGCTGGCACGCCATCCCCCTTCGCCACTCTTATCACAGCCAGCAAATACACAGCGAGATAGAAAAGAGAGAAGGGAGCAAAGAGAGGAAACTTCTTCACGTGACAACAGCTGATGCGAACCCTCCGGATCCCAACTACCTGCCCAGCATCGATGCCCGTCAATAATGCATAACTATCCTTCTCGTGCCGCTGAACATTTTCCAAATTTCAACAAATTATTTGCAACATAAATAAATCCATGTGTTTGTCTTCGCAATCCTCGTATATCGGCACTCTGCGCGGCGCGACCTTCAACAACCGGCGGAAACAAATAAATCATTCACGCGACTTCTCCGCGCCGAAGAGATGCACGAGAGATATAAACAAATTTCATCTTGCAATTTTTTACCCACCTCTTTGTCGTTTATTTTTGCACACGGCATTTTTAACATCAGAATATTCATTCTCAACCACGAGTTGGATTCAATCAGGTCAAACTTCTGAACTTCCAAATTTCACTCTCATTTTCAGTAAATTGATTAAAAAGTCACGAACTTTAACGTCGATACCTATTGAACCGTCATTACGCATTTATTTTGAGAGGAAATACTTTGAATAAACATGCTTGTTAAATAATATTATTATTAGATAAACTTAGACTAAGTACCTAATAATATTTATAATGTAATAAAAATACTTTAACTAAAACTAGCGGCACAAACAAAATCAATCAAAGAAAAAAGTAATTTTATGGTACCACGGCAAAACGGAGACATTGGATAATACCCCTTTGGATATTTTTACTTAGAAGAGGTCGAGCTACGGCGGCATTACAATGGAAACGGTGAAGCAAAATACATAGTAAACAACAAATCTTTATTGCCGCGTTTTCCCTTATAGTAAATAACAATATTTCGGTTTCAGTTAATAAGAACAATACAATTAGTAACATTATATTACAATAAGTACGAAGAAAGAAAATAACATATAATAAAAAGATGTTATAAATTAATGAAAATTAACAAATGAATATACATATCACGTGGATTAAGATTGTTTTAAATACGAAGAAAACGAAAGAGAAATTCGAGCGTGTTATGTCTTTTCTCTTTTTTTCTCGAAATAAGTGCACAATAACTTTGTAAAGGAAACGCAATTGTATAATAGGACACCTGGCCAATAACATCTTTGAAGCAATAGTCATAAATTTATCGGCGGTCCCTACTATATAAGTAAGCATGGGAATACACGCCGCATTATCTGTGAATTGATTCATTAAATTAAATATACATTAAGGACAATTTAATTGTATGCATTTAATGATAATCGTGAATCGTTCATTAACGAATCGATATAATACAATAGAAGAAATAAAACATAAAATTCATTACATTAAAATTTGTTTTGTTAATTTTACTGGCGTTTTGCCATTATAGGACAATAAAATTTAAGTTTATGTCTGCATGATTTATTATAACCAACAAACAACAATAAAATAAACAAGCGACGCTTCGCTTTTCATTTTCAAAACATATGTATACTTATTATGTGTTTTTTTTTTAATATATTAATTAATTACTACTATATTTGCCTACTATATTTTGCAAATATAATTTGTATTTGCTGTAAAAGCCTGGACAGTTTCTTGTTTTTAGTAATTCTAGTTGCATCTTAGTGTTGTTTGTGATTACACATACATATTTCAAAACTTGTATTCGGACGTGATATTTTTGTTTTTTTTTGTGCAAAATTTAATAACACTTGCATGTCTATCTAAACAGAAGACAGATATTTAAAAAGGTAGAATATGAAAGTAAAACCCAAACCTCGATATACGAGTGCCCTAATATACGAGTGTTTTGAGATACGAGCCGCCTAGCAAGGAGCGATATGCTGCTTTGAGATGAGAGCAAGATTTTAAATACGAGGAATCGCACACTACACCGCTGCACACGTTCCCAACATGCGCCCCAATTGCTTTGAGATACGAGCAATTTGACATACGAGCAAGGTTACGGAACGAATTAAACTCGTATGTCGAGGTGCCACTGTAAAACATTATCTACATTAAAGTTGCAAGTTATATAATTAGCCAACGAAAACCTGCAAGAGTTTCGCTAGGTTATTTATAAGTTTTTGCTAAACTAATAATAATATAATAATACATTTCCAGATTAGTATATTATCAAAAGAAAATAATTTTCTTATAATTTGTTTACAATTTTCAGTTATCTCAGCTGTTGATAGCCCATTTTCTTATTTTGTATAGTAGAAAGAAAAATAGTTAATAATATGTATCTCCTTCTTATTTAAATAGGGAAATAGATATTATATTTACGCGAATATCTGTATTTTTATGTTTATAGTATACGTAAATAAATGAATTTCAAGGAAAGCGTGAGGGATTAGAGGATTTTATTTTCTTCTATCTATCTACTAGAACAGCCGTGTTGCTTCAGACACGGTCTCACAATTGTTAACTCATAAGAACATTATCTACATTAAAGTTGCAAGTTATATGAGATGTTAACAATTTAAAACTATTTTTCTCTTATATCAAATGAAATTGGTAGCAAATGAATGAGGAAGTTTACATATTATAATGTGTATATTAAATTAATTTTATTTGTATAGAATGACCTACGGTCAATATCCCTTTTGAAGCAGGGGTTCTATTGAGTTTTTATTATTTTTTAATTTATTGTTGCAATAAATATTATTAATACTTTTATTGATATGCGTATTCTGGAAATTATTACAGTTATATCCCAATTAATCATAATTACAGGACAAACAAGTGGGTGCATACGATGTGATTTTCGAAAAAGATGAAACGGGCAACGATTTTCCAGTTTTCTGGATTCTGGCAAACAGAGGACCTAATCCGGGGAACCCGACGTTGCCATTTCGTCGTCGCCAGGTTCTGGTGTTTTCGGCATTGGGATTATGAAACGCGGACACAAGAGGGGCGCAAGTAAAGCGTTTTGCACTTCTCGGAAATTGCACACAAGTTTCCTTTCTGACCACCCTGGGTCCCGGCTTTTCGAGACAAGGACCAGAAAGAAATTACATTTTGAGCGGATGCGAACTGATGTTAGCGGCCCCCCGCGCCGCGCATCTTTCCAATAGCCCTCTTTTTTTCTGGTGCTCGCGCCCTTTTCCATGATCTTCCTCTCTCTCTTTTTGTCGCTCTTCCTTTTCTCGCCATCATCATCCGCCGCGGCCAACTTTCCTGTGCCCTTCCCAAAAGCAGCACCACACATTTCAACAAAAATGCGGCCCAGCAAAAACCGTGGAAAATTTTCTGGAACCCGTGTTTCTCTTTCACTCAGAACTCCATACAAAAAATATCTAACCGATAAACAAGAACATCGTTATTTAATATTTACTACGAAAACAATACTTAATTATATATTGTGTAGATAATAAATAAGTTTTTGCAATATTCAATAGTAGGGATATGTTAGATCAGTGATTCTCAAACTTTTTGGTTCGCGACCCCCTTTTGTACTTAAAAAAATAAAGGACCCCCCAAAAGAAGGGGATGTGTAAAAATACCTACAAAAACATATCGATGGTCTGTCATCAATTTTTCTGCGACCCCCCAAATACTTTTCGCGACCTCCGTGGGGTTGTCTCAAATATATCCAAATAAATGTCTTCAATGATTTCTTTATTTACATCAATTCATTTAGTCATTATTTTATTTGGCTTATTTATTCATAATAATTTGATATTCTCAAGTAACTTTAATACAAATCACGTGAAGTTGTCAAACAAGTTATGTAAGTCTTAAACTACTTGAAATGAATTATAAAATTATGACCCATTTAACATATATCAAGAAATTAAAAATTGCTTCTACTACAAAAAAATGATACAATTTATTTATTGTATTCTTAATTGTCATGAAGCGAAATTACACTATTTCTAATATCGCTAATTGTGTTATTCATTGAAACGTATATTTGTTCAAATATTGTTTGGGTATTCTCAGAAACATATATCTTTAACGGGTCTATATCGAAAGCCCGACAACCAAAATCCCGACGTTCGAAATCCCGACTGTATCGAAATCCCGTCAACCATAATCCCGACTATATCGAAATCCCGACTGTATCGAAATCCCGACAGTATCGAAATCCCGACAGTGTATTTTATTATTATAACTTCAATAACATTTTTAAATTATTCCGAAACGTAGTCACCATCTACTATTATTTAATATTAATAACAATAAATTAATTTAAATTTAGAAAATGTCTTAATTTTAAGTTTTATTAAGTCATTGAAAACAAATACAATAATAAAAATATTTTGTTACTAATAGTTAATAACAACAATTAATAATTTAAATGCATTTCAGATTATTTCAAATTGTCAAATTTTATTATAAATAATTCAATTAAATTAAATACAATAAAAATAATTTATTGTTATTATCAATCTTATTATATAAGTTAACGAAAATATATATATTAATAGTGGACCTAAGTCTTTCTGCCCGGGAATTTATTTTAAATATATTTAATTTATTTTTTATGTTATACTATATTTTTTGAGTATCTGGCGCCGACTTGTATTTATATAATTATTTATATAATTGATAATGTTAATAGAGAAAAAAAAACATGCTATGTATTTACGAAGTCTCCTAGTCTATTTGTCTTATTGTATAACCAAAAACAAAGAAACCTCCACCAAGCGTAAACAATCCCATTGATACGTACGAATAATTTTTTGAATATTCCAAATTTCGTGAAAGAGACGTCGATACAGTAGGAATTTCGATATAGTCGGTATTATGGTTGTCGGGATTTTGATATAGTCGGGATTATGGTTGTCGGGATTTCGAACGTCGGGATTTCGAACGTCGATTTCGATTGTCACCGATCTTTAACGTTTTTTTTCTAATTAAAATTTAACAAAATGTTGTTTCATTAACGTGAAATTATATTATACATTACAATTTGAAATTACACTAATTAGTCAACAAAATCATTGTTTGGAAGATTTTCGCTAGGTTATTTATAAGTTGTTGTTAAACTAATAATAATAGAATAATAAATTTCCAGATTAGTATATTATCAAAAGAAAATAATTTTCTTATAATTTGTTTACAATTTTTAGTTATCTCGGCTGTTGATAGCCCATTTTATTATTTTGTATAATAGAAAGAAAAATAGTTAATAATTGTATGCGTATCTCCTCCCAATGTAAGTATTTAGAGAAACAGATATTATATTTACGCGAATATCTGTATTTTTATGTTTATGGTGTAAGTAAATACAC